GGCGCAGCGGTTCGCGCACAGACCAAACCCTGCGAGACCTCAGTTTGATTCCCAGCCACAGCTGCTTGAGTGGAGATTGTCTGAACCGGTCCCGGTCCTCTCATGAACAAACAAACATCAGCACTGAGCAGAAAGAGGCAGCCGGGCGTGCTTCCGACCTCAACACTCCATCTTGTACTCTACCACGTCTATGCTCCCCCCCCACTTCACCAACCTGCACCAACCACGACCCCGCACGGCACGGGGAGGCCTCATCTAGCAGCGGATTGACAAAAAGAGCCGTGTGTGCATGTATGTGTGTACATATACATGTGGTCTGTATGTACGCGTGTGCAAGCATTGCCCGTGTGTGTGTACGAGTATGGCAGCGAGCGTCATTTCCAAAAAAATACAATCATCGATGACTTTTACATTTCAATGGGGTAAATTGTTGCCGTGTCACCGGCTAAATGCAGCTCAGAATGCATTAGGAAACCCATTTAGGGCACGCACAGAGAAAGTACTCCCGTGCCGGCCTTATCAAGACAGTTTCACAATGAACTTAGGGGCCAAATCCATTATCTTTCTCCTTTGTGGCGAGAATTAGAACAAGCCGGCAAAGCCAGTCTTTAAAGGGAGCCCGATCCTGCCGTTAGGAGGTTGTCATCGACTGCGTGCAGATAGAAGTGCATGCAGATGTAATCGCACCGACACACGGACATAACGTTACGAATCTGGATCCTGTTAGGTTTCGCGAAGATTGGTTAAGGGGTTTGTTGTAGTTTTTATGTGTGCACGAGTAGGTTCCCTCTTAAGGACTCACAAGTGAATGTAATCTATCCCAGACGTTAAGTGTTGGTGGTACTCCCTCCGCTCTCCGAGACGTATAACCAGCGTGGAAGAGGAGGCCAAAAACACGCTCGAGCAGGGACTCGCTCACTGGCACTCCCCGCTCCAGCGGAGGCTCTTCCGCCAGCGGCGGCGTGAGTCACTGCAGGGCTGCGGACCTTTGCCTTCACAAGTGGATAACCCTATAGCTGCTCCCACTTTAAAGCAGCCACCCGCGTCTTTTTTAATCATCGGCGGGAGGCAGGGGAAAAAAAAAATCGAATTCTATGTTTTTTTTAGGTAACACACGTTTTTTTGTTATTATATATTTTTTTACGTTTAAAACGACGCTGCAGCGTCGCCACAAAGGTTCTGGGACAAGGCGGCGGCCTCCACCGCAATAACGCTCAGGGGGGGCCGTCGCAGCGACGGCCACACGCGGCCCAGAGCCTGGTCCCCCGCGGCATGGGGCCCTGGCCGATGGACACAGCGCCGCAGCTCCGCCCCGCCGGCAGTGGCGGCCTAGTGCAGGCCTCGCCAGTCTTACGCGATGCCTCCGCCTTATCGGCCACGTGGAAGAGAAGACTAATAAATAGATTCCAGCCATTCTCAATCCACCAATGGATTAAGACCTCCCCCACCACCACACCATGTCAGTCACAGGATTTTTATTTCAAATTTTATTTAACAATACTTCACCACACTGGTTAGTCGTGCGGGTTGGTTGGGGTGGGCAGGACCGGTTCTGATATCACTCGCCACGGATGTCAGCCGTGGCTGGAAATCGAACTCTGCTTGTCGGGTTCATAGCACGGTGTGCGCTCACCACTGGGCCACCACTCCACCCCTGCAGCGAATTATGTACTAAACTAAACTACGCTATTCATTTATCCGGCAAAGCCCCATCCCGTTGGCCACAGCTCATTAGGTCTCTGCAGAACGTTGATCGCGGCGTTGCAACGGGAGCGATGCATGCCCCTCGGAACTGGAATGTTGGATCGGGTAAAGCAGTCACCGTTGAGTGGGCTGAGTAACACGGACGCGTGCCAGAGAGAGAACCCCGTGTCGTCATTGCGAGATGACTTCGAACCCAGGATCTCAGAGCTGCCAACTCGGCACCTCCGACAGGGCCACATTATGAAAAGGCCTGAGACACCAGGCCACTTCCCCCATGCCAAATGTTCAAATAGTATCGGACAGAGGAGGCGGCATCTTGATTTTATAGTTACGTTTTCTATAAACGGCAAATGTATTAGGTTTGAATGGGAAAGAGACCGGTAGGATCCCACTCAACATCTGTAACGATGCCCTCTTGTGTAATGGGCAATGGTATCTTGGCTATGGATGCGACGGATATTATTGTAAAGGGCTCGGCTCCCTTGTTCGGTGGGAGACTAGACCGTGGCAGTCGGGTGTTGGCCATGCAGCAAGCTGTGGGAGACCAGGCAGAAGGAAGGAAGCGACGGCCAACCCCGTGTTTCTCTAAGTCGGCGATGGCAAAGCAGGTAAAATATCGCGGTCGGCGAGAAAAACATTGTACAATAATACAAGACGTCAAATGTTGCGAGGCTGATGCCTTTCGAACAAAATCACACGTTGCTCTGCTGTTGCCATTCGGCGCACGTTACGCCCACGTATCACACAGCCCCGGGCACAAGGTAAAGGACGCGCAAAAGTCTGGTAAAAGCACACAATTCTGAGTAGGGGACACAGCAGATTTCATACGACACGGGAAACGGCAATTATTATCTCAGAAAAGCAATACCAAAATAAAATAAAGACACGTTTAATACAAACGCAGAGAAAAATATTCACAACTTAGAAGGTTTGTTGAGATTGCGTGTTTGAAGGCGGCACGCGTTGAACGAAAGCATTTCAAAAGTAACGAGTAGGTGTTTAACGATGAGAAAACGGGAGAATTAAGCGGTCATTAATTTACCCAGCACAGCCTCCAGGACTTTCCAGACTCCAGTATCACCAGTCTTGAAAATTAGATATTTGACCAATTCCTCATGCAGTGGGAAAAACCAGAATACCCGGAGAATTCTCAGGTACATACGAGATGTTAGAAAATAAAATTTACCAACACAGATAGGTCAGTAACCCACTTCCTGTACTCCCATCTCCCAGCCACCTAACGTAATCCGGGTCTGCATCTGGCGTTTCCAAAGGAATGTAATCCAACTGCTTTTCCGATTACTTTATTCGGGGAGTGTACTGTGATCTGCGTGAATTTGCTGCTTTTGCCCACGCATCAACGCCAGCTGCTGTCACCAACACGTCCCCCTCCTTTACCAAAGTTATTGAAATCATTAAAATATAAATTAACAAAATGAAAGTTATTTGTACAAAGCATTCAGCAGGTACGTGCTAAGAAAAGTAATCCGATAACCCGCTGAAAACAGTGATCATACGGGATTTCAGGCCAGTAATTGGGCAGACCGATTACTGTAACGTGATGCAGTGAACGCACGCGCGGATTGCACCGCGAGGTGAGCGATGATGGAATGAAAACCTCAGACGCGCTTGCAGAAAAACGACTAGCTGCTAGCCCAAGTCAAAATCATATCACACTCTCCGACAAAAATCATCTGCAACAAAGTGTACCTTTCCATCGATCGGAGAATCGCTGATCGCAAAGTGCCTCCAAAAAGCAGCCAAATTTCCAGATAAGGGAAGAAATTTTTAAATAACTGCTCCCAGATTCACCCAAAACAGATGGTGGCGGCTTGCCTTCCCGCACTTCGCTTGCAAAGCACGATTGCGAATCGTCCCAGGATTAAAATGCTCCGGTCACGTCGAGCCACGTCAATTTCCCCTCGCACGTTAAGACCCGCGCGCGGGTGCCCGCACGTGAACACCCGCACATATCGTTACGTCACCTCCCTTTCGTTTTAAACGCGTTGTAGGCTAAACATGTTTGAGGCTTTTTTTTTGTCTTTTATACAGACGGATTTTTATAGACGAGGGCGGTAAAAGGAGCACGCGCGCGCTCGCACCCAATCCATCCACATGAAAGGGGAAGTAACTCATTGGCACCACAGCTCTCTGCAGTTTGCTTTCGAGTCCGCAAGCGAAGACGTCGCACGTCCGGGCATCGCGAGTAGCGGGACCACGCGCCGCGTAATACTCAATACGGTGTAACCGCTCATAAAACGCGGCGAAACTTTGTGATGCACGCAAAAGGCATAAAAAAGCTCCACACGGGTTTGTAGATCCCCGCAGCCAACGATACCGTGAGGTTGACTCGCTCAGCCAAACCACAACTTTTGGCAATGTATGGGCCACCATCCTGGCCCGCAAGAAATGTTGCGAGCACAAATGGGCGCCCGATACCAAACATAATCCATTGTGCGCCCTATGCCTTTTGTGTGCAGCGAGGGAATTTCAATTTTCTGTTCCGAGGGCACTCCAGAAATTATGCTCTTGGCGATTTTGCAGTTGCAAATGTGCATCTAAACTTTGGGTAATTTTTTTTAACACGAAGACACAACACACTTAAGCACACACGCATACGAAGGGATTATTCAGCAGCAACATCATCATCGGCAGCATTTAGCAGGGTAATAGAACCACACGCCATGATCGGGACATGGTCACGGCGGTCTAAAGTATACTCAGCGACCGCTGCGTAATACTCGCAACGGACCGACGGGCAGTTTCGCTGTGCGTCGTATGAGGAGCCGCTGTCGGATTCCGCGACTTGGCCCAATTTTGACGCCCGCATGCGGCAGAGGAGGAGGAGGAGCATTACACGGACATCGGGAAGCGTCAATTTAAATCCTGGTCCGTGCACGCTGTGCCAGATAGCGAAGCAGTGGCTGGTGGATGCGCAACCGTCAATGGATGCCCCGTCTCCGAGCATTGACACTTTAATGCAGCCCGACAGGCGATGGGGGAGGTGGGAGGGAGACGAGTGGATGCATCGGTTCAGCGAACAATACACACATCCAATGGCGTGCGTAAGAATCTGTGTTTTTTTTTATTCGTACGTGCGTTGTAATGCAACGAGTTCACATTTAAATTAAACAATAAACTATTTTTATTTGACCAGGTAAGGCTCACTGAGCAAGTGACCTAGCCACAAATGATAGCTCAATGAAGTGGCTTATCATATGCAAATTTATAGCAGCCAAATACTCGAAATGCATGTTTATAAATGTGGAGTGAAAAACCGGAGGACCCGGAGAAAAATCAACACGACCACGGGAAGAGAAACATGCAAACTCCAATTATACAGCAGGCGTCAGGGTTAGGATCGCACCCACGACCTCCTGCATACCAGGCGAGGTAGTTAACATCTCCTAGCCACTTCCCCAACCACGAGCGGCACACCTATCTACCGCAACTGAAATCAAGATAAGCTTAAATAAATTCTGAGGCTGGAATTTTCTGCCTCTGTAGTGCCCAGAAGCATACTTGTGCCAAGTATCTGACATCATCTCTACTTCAGTTTCCAAAAACCAATTAGTTAATCAACAATTCACCCTTCTACCTCGAGAATCAACAGCGATGCATGCCCCACCTCCCCCTTTCTCCGCGGGGATTTTGAAAGCAACGATGATGATGAATAATCCCTTTAAGTTCGGCAAGACTCGCTCAGGGGGCTGTGAGCCACCCTGCGCTCTGACCACCACGGCACTCGGCAGGATCACAACATCGTGGAGCGCATGCTGTGGCCGAGCGAGCTAGCGGTTGTCCCCTGTCCCCAGTTTTCCCAGAATAGTGCTCTTGTCGTGCAGGCGGCAAGCTGCGTCCCGGACAAAATCTGTCAGTCTTAGCAGGGCGTAAAAAATCCCGGATTTTGTCAGCTGCGTAATAATAATAATAATTCACCACCCAAGGCAATGCATTTACATTAAATTCTCCCCTCTCTCTGCTATTGTGAGATATTCTTCATAACCATGGCATGTACCTTTAAGAGATTGCAACCCTAGCGTGGCTGTTGGAAGATAGAGGGCCAAGGTTGTGGCTGTCGCCAAGTGAGAGAGATGGACAGAGAGATGGACAGAGAGATGGACAGAGACACGGACAGTGACACGGGCAGAGAGACAGAGAGAAAGGAGGGCAGCCGTGCTGGTGATGCTCATGGCACGGCCGGTTCTGTGCGGCGCGTGCGGTTGTGAAAGACCTTAATAGCGCCGGTGAAATCTGCCGTCACCAACACCTCGCCGTGCTCCTCTGACCGGGCAGAACCTGGAGGGGGCAACGGGCAACTTTCAGCGCCGCGTGAGGATGCATGGGGAGCCACCGGGAAAAACGGAGACACGAGGGGACGCACGTGGGGACACACGCGGGGACACCCGAGGACACACGTAGGTACACACGTGGAGATACATGTGGGAACAAAGGGAGAAACGTAGCATCTGTAATAATTTGGTGGACATTTTGGTTATGTGCATGGTGGTGGGGTGTTAGGCATACCGACTGGTTGAATAAAATGTGGTGTCGTGTGTAGTGGTGTAGACTAACCCGTCCCTTGTGGGAATGTGGATATACTGGCCACATAAATGTTAGTAGTGTGGATGTTATGACAGTGGTGGTGTGTTCGGCAAACTAGTCATGGTTTTTGCGTTTCAGTACGAGTGGGTGGGTGGGTGGTTGGTGAGTATCTCAGCGGGTGTGTGGGTGAGTTGTCGTGACCTGTAGCGTGGCGGCTGAACACGGTGCGGGATGAGACAAATCACGAGTGGCGGCATGCACAGTGAGCGAGCGAGATAGCGAGTGGCGGTGGCACAGGGGCGACGCCGGTGGGCTGCGAGCGTGGCGCGTACCGGCCGTGCCGCTCTCCGTGGCTCCCTCGCCGCCCTCGCTGGGCACTACCTCCTCGACCGCCGGACCGTCCGAGCCGGTGATGAGCGCAGGATGGGGCGAGAAGATCGCCGACGTCACGACTGCGTTGTGAGCTGTGGGGGCGGGGGGGGGGGTGAATGCACGGGGAGACACGGGGACGCAGAGACAAAACGTGGACGCTCGGGGACACGCAGGTGTTCTATGCGCCGGGAGCAGAAAGTGCGGCACGTGTGCCATCTACGGCGCTTTGTCAATCCACCGCTAAATGAAGGTCGTATTGGTCAGAGGGGGTTATTTGACTATACCTTACCACGATCATCAATACGGGGTGGTGAAGGGGGTGCGCGCACGCAGGAATGGTTCAGAGATCACTCGCCACGGCCATTAGCCGTGGATCAAAATCGCTGCCCTTTTCCCCGCCCCCCGCCCCCGATTGCATTCCTCACCCTTGAAGCCCTCCCAGTAATCGTTGCGGTCCCTGCGGACGGAGGAGAAGCGGTTGACGTCATGGTAGGTCTTCCACAGGTAAACGTAGCGGTCCTCGGAGCCAGACACCATGTGCTGAAAGTTGTGACTGAGACAAAAGAACGCACGCAAGCGCACACACACACAACACATCTCATGCGACATCTTAATGATTATCGTCTCCAATTGCATCCCAATTGTTCGACATGCAAGTCATGAGACGCAATATCCATTTGGATCTCTCGCACGGCAGTGAGATCATCTCTATTAGAGAACGGCGCACGGAAGTGGATATAGCAGAGCCACCTCTGAGACCTCTTCAATTGACCTCTGGTTCACACGGAAGAAGCGGAGCAACTCTCTCACTGAGTGTACTGCTTGTCATGTGACAGCCTAACCGATAGTGGAATTCTCAAGAGGTGGAATTTATATTCTTGGTTCTTTCGGTAAAGTCACCACGTAGAAGGGAAACAATAAATACAAATATAAAACAATAAAATTATCACGACGTTTCGACTGCAACACAAGCAATCATCATCAGGTGTGAAAACCACAGCAAGAAAATTTGAAAAAAGTTGCGGTTTTTTTTAACATTAGCACCACGGAGAGCGATTCGACAGTTTGTTCAGATGGACGAGTCCATCTATGTTCGGAAAAGAGGAGGGGGGAGACGAAAATAATGGATGCGGTCTGAAAGCCACCGTAAGCGTGAACAATCAATTAAGACCCGAAATGGTTTATCAAATCCTTCCAATGATTGCCAGAATCCATCTTCTCGGTTGAAATTGTCTCTGTGTTTGTATATGTGGATAGCCTCATGAACGAATCTCTCATGGTAGCCAGATGGCTTGCAAAGAGAAGTCAATGTCATGTGAGCCTACTGAATTATAACAGTGATCTGCCACGGCCGAGGTGTTGGTCCTACCGTGTTTTAGGTCTGCTTTGTGTTCACGAATGCGGTCCGAGACATGTCGTTTGGTTTCTCCAATGTAACTACTACCACAGAGGCAACTTAGTTTGTAGGTGGAATTTAGCCAAGTTCAGTGCATTCACTGGTGAGAAGACTGACTCGCTGCGCTTGAGAACCAAGTTTAACCACAGGCAGCTGCCTGGATTCGAACTCAGGCTCTTAGGCGTGTTAGCTCAGCGCTGTGACCTCCACGGCACCTGGACGCTTCAACTCCTGAGTAGCCCTTGTGAACCACCGGGGAAAGTATTGCATTGTTGGTGGACACTTCATCTTAGTCAGCGGTGAGGTCACCAGGAGGTCGGACAGAGCAGTGAGCCGGCAGCGCTGAGGACCTGGGTTCAAATCCTGGTTTTGGCCACTCGTGAATAAAACTGAGCTTTAGCCTAACCGACGACTTCACAAAAAACCCCATCACATAAAAAAAAATCACAGAATTTGTCCAAATGTATGCTCTAAACAATTAAAATAAATCACCAACTGGTGACAAAGCATGTCTCTCTCGCGGGGTGTGTGGCAGCGTGCTGCCCCGATGTGTGGATGAGACCGCCGCTTGGAGGTTTCTCAGGAGCAGCTCTGCGATATCTGTCTCCACGGGCCATTGGTGATGCACCACAAACGTGATGGCGCCACGCAGTCCACGATCGGGAGAGAGGTTGGGGCAAACAACTCGACAAAGCCAAGTCGGCATGGTGCACCAACGCGTTGGAGCATCTCCCCAGAATTCATGTTTACATGGGAAGCATCAAATACTTCTTTGGTTCTTTCGGTAAAGTCACGTAGAATAAAAATAAAATAATAATGGTTTATTTTATTATTATTTTATTCTCATTCTACGTGACTTTACCGAAAGAACCAAAGAAGATGAATCCTTGCAGTCATGAAAGCTTTAAATCGAAACATCAAATACTTATTAAAGGCTGAGTTCACCTAGGGGAACCCAGGGCTTGTTCATGTAAAAAAAAAAAAACTTTTTTTCCCCCTCGGCTTCCAACTCGTGTCGGACAGCCCGGGACACACGGCTTAAGTGTGTAGCTAAAAAGATAAGACCTGCTGGTTTTTTTGGATTGCATCTTAAAAAAATTCGATTTACAATACTCCGGCAGATTCAAGCGCCGCTTCAAAGACATCAGCATTGATGTGCGCGAGCGCTCGGGAAACGCAAGAGCGCCGGCCTTCAGACGGCGCTCGCGTGATAAGACCGTTTAACAAGCCGACCGGTTCTTAGAGGTCACCCCGAAGGGATCTCGCCAACAGTTCTGCGATATCCGCTTCTGTGGGCCGCACACTTACACGAAGGGCTGTATCACTCTGTGACGTCGCGGCCAGTCGAACAAATCGGGATGACATTGGGGGAAGAAATAAATCTCTTTATTCTTGAACAGTTTCAGTCTCAATGTGACCATCGCCAAGTCTACAGAACTTCAACGACAAACCTAAACTTGTCAGAGGTCCAAAAGTTTGGTGCAGGTCAGACTAGTTGGGTTTTTTGCGTTATCCCCCCGTGTACTGCCCAAGGGAGATCGCACGGAACGTCCACTCGCCACGACCTCCACAAGCAGAAGCTGAGAGACAGCCCAACGTGCGATTGCAGAAACGCCGACCGGGCCGTACGTAGGCCACGCAGTCGTACAAAGCCACTGGCTCACCTTCCTGCTCCCTCCTGGGACAGTCATCGCTGACTAAAAAGGCAAAGAACACTCTTCTGGGTTGATATTCCACCGGCTGTAACCCACCCCATCTCCAGCACGCTGGTTGGCCGGGTGGCTCGCAATCACAAGGTTGCGAGTTCACATCCTGGTCTGGTTGTGGGCGGGGGGGGCTGGGTTAACTCAGCCCATAATCCCTCCAGAGTCGGTAAAACGAAATACCATGTTATGGGGAAGTCAGCAGTGGTTGTTTTATCGATAAACTTGCCCCCACCAAGAGGAAAGTGGAATTTTACCACTGGCTCAGAGGATGAGCGCACTGCCTCTACGGACACGTGAGCCGGCAGTCTCGCGACGGCAAGACGGAGGGAGATCCTCTATGAGACAGGCCCTTCAGACTCCGGATCGCAATATGCGAGCGGCAGTTGCGGTGCCTCTCACCTGAAGCTGGCTTTGATCTGGCTGCTGTTGTTGAGGCTGCCCTTGTACTTGATGCAGAGCGAGAGGTCGCGGAGGTCGTACAGGCGGATTCGCGAGTCATTTGAAGTCACGAGGATCTGCCGACGAAGACACAAAAAGGAAAATAACGGACGGCACTGCGTTGAACGTACAATCCTGACGTGTTTTCCGTGATCGCAATGCAACTGGCGTCACGGTTAGTGTGTGGCGGATAGTGTTATGGTTAACGTAAGAGTCAGGGTTTGGGTTAGAAGAAATAGCCAGGGATAATGTTAGAGACAATTTGAGCATTAGGGCTCGAGTTCGGGTCAGGCGAAATGGTTAGCCTTTTCTTCTGGTCATCTCTTAACAGTATCAGTTTTTGAGGGCGTAGATCAGGGGTGGGGAACGTCCGGCCCGCGGGCCGTTTGAGGCCCGCAAAATTATCTGATGTGGCCCTGCCAAGGCAACCGCAGGCGGGACTCGAAATTCAATAAATCTAGGAGCAAACCTGGAAAAGCAGTTGCGAGTAGCAACATCATCAATATCAGCTAACAGCACCACACGCCTCACCAAAGAGAAGCAGTTCCAGCCATCGCATTAGGGGTGAGTTAATTAAATGTTTGACCAAATATAACGGACTAATTTTTAAGTTCATAATTTTGTATGGCCCTCAAATGATGTTATATAAATATCGAAATGGCCCTTGGCAGAAAAAAGGTTCCCCACCCCTGGCATAGACCATAAAGTGGGGAAACCCGCTCATAACCGAGGGCCGAATATTTTTGACTTTCATCAAATACCTTCCCCACTGGTCAACCAGACGTGACACGTATAACCCTAATCTCAAGCCAAGTGTTGTCAAAAGCAAGACGATTGAGCACACAAAAAATGTGCGAGCACGCGGAATTTAGAAACGCAGCGTTGCCCCCCTCTAGTGCCCGATCAGGGTGCGGCTAAGAAGCTTGTAGTGATGAATGGATAACGTTTTCCGGCTACATCGCATAAGCTTAGAACCACCGGCCGTATGAAATGAAGTCGTGGGCCGGTCTGGCCCACGGACGGGGCAATCGGTTCCCCACCAATTGCGTAGAGGCCGCTACTGGGGCAGCAGGGACTGGTGCGATGAGGGAGGCGAGGGGATTGGGTTGGACACAAGTTACAGGGCCGGTACCGCACCTTGTTCTCCGCAGGAAGGGGCTCGATTCCCGTGATTTTGCGCCCGACGCGGTTGCGTCCTCGGCTGGATCGCACGTGGATCTGCGTGAAGTACTTGAGGTGCTGCCGCCGCCGCCGCCACCGCCGCCAAGATCACCGCCAGGACCACACGCGCGCACGAGGGTCGCGGTTAGAATCCGGGCATGAGTTGTACATGTGCAGCCCTTTTGTCAACGTGCTGCATTCGGTACAGCGCTCAACCCACAATCAAAAGTTGTGGGTTCGAATCCAGGTTGAGGATCAGCTCAAAGCTTCATCATCGTAATCTATAAAATTTACATTACTTTTTCGGCATTCTGCAATCGTCATCATCATCATCATCAATCACTATGATTGGTCTATTGGTCTCAATAAAACGAGCACTACCAAGTAAGCCACATTTTTGTTAATGGCCATCCATCATTGTGAACCCTCGCTGCCAAAGACCATCTCCGCTAGCCAGGCGGTGGTGTAGCTATGCTGCCCGTGCCCTGTAATCCAGCCCTGTGGAGGCAGCAGCGAGAGTTGGTGGGTCACACGAATGTTGCGAAACTCCCTTCCCATGAGCGTCGGGGGAGGAGGCAGTACATCAAGTGGACCAATCGCCATCTGTTTCCATCTGTACGGGGATAGTGCTGCCCCCTCGCACGTGTGGGTTTCCTCCGCGTGCTCCGGTTTTCTCTCACATGTGTAATAAACAACTCATCATTCATTGGCTGAAAACATCTTAACCCTTTCTGAGACATCTGAAAGTTGCAAGATGGGTGTCCCGTTCACCGCTGAATCTCGGAACGTGCACAAGCGGTGAACATTAATTTTATTTAGAGCGCTGTAGCGTCGTTGTTTTTTAAGACATTCTACTGACTGAAGAGAACCGTAGCAGCACAACCGCACTCAACAATAGATGGTACCAAATTGTACCGCGCGCCCTTCCGCATGGCCTTGTGGGAGCCTCGGTACCTTTAGTTATTCTTCTGGTCATCGAAATGGAAATCGGAAGAAAAATGTGGCTCTCCTGCATAAATGTCAAGTAAGGAAAGACAAAACAACAAGTAACGGACACTTACGAGTGAGAGGGGAGCGCCATGCTTCCCCGTGTCATGCCTGATGCACGGACCAACTCACCTCCGTCTCGTAGAAAACGCAGCGCCCGTCGTAAGTGCCGATGACGGCGAATTTGCCATTTTGGCAGAAGTTGGCGGCCGTGATGAGCTTGGTGGCGCCGTCCACCTCGTTCCAGAGGGCCACTTTCTTCTCGGGAATGTTCCACAGCCGCAGCTTGCCATCCAGCGAGCCGCTCAAGAAGTAGCGGTCGTCCTGCGCAAAGCGGCAGAACACAAGTCTCTCAGATGGACGCGCGGTGGCGAGATGTTAACGACCTCGCCCGTTACGCAGGAGTTTGTGGGTTCGACCCTGACGCCTGTATATTTGGAGTTTGCATGTCTCCCTCCCTGTGCTCGCGTAGATTTTTCTCCGGATCCTCCAGTTTTTCCCTGCTAGAAATCTCCATAGGAAAAAAAGCCACTTCCTTGAGCTATCCGTTTGTGACCAGGTCACTTCTGAAAATAAGTGATATATCTCAGTGGGCCTTATCTGGTTAAATAAAAAGTGTAATATCTACATCGTGCATGTACACAAGCTGTACATTCAACTATACGTTTGAATGGGGGGGGGGGGGGGTGGGGGGGGGTGGAAGCGCAGCGGCTAGTGCACCGCGCTACGACCCCGATGACCCGAGTTCAATTCCCACAACGACAGTGACGAATACCTGAACCGGTCCTGGGCCTCCCCTAGGTCGACTCAGCCTTAAATCCGTACCCGGTGAGGTGTGTAAACATCAGCACTGGGGGAGATAAAGGTAGCCGGGTGTGGTGCTGGCCAAACCCTCGTGTGCCATGTTGCCTTTCAGAGATGCTCGCTAACAGCACTTGCCCCATCAGTCAGTTAAAGGCTACATGGAGGATCTTTGTCTTGGTATGTATGAAATAATGCACAGGGCTGGGTTAACGCAGGGGCTTTAGGGGTTGCTGCCCAGGGCCATGGATTTCTTTAGGAGCGCCACCAAAACAAACTGTTTTATGACAGTTGTAGCATTGCGAGATACTGCAGTGTAATTTGTAAATTACAGCCATAACATCACCACTGAATTACGTTGAGTTTTATTTACTAAAAACAAGATAGTTTTGATTATTAAACTTGTACTTGGCATGTGTGGTGGTTGTAAAAGAGTCGAGGATAGGAATTCAATCTGCAGAAATGGGCCCTCAATACTAGACCAGCCCCAGGCTCCAATCAAACTTAATCCAGCCGTGTGTATAAGTGTGTGATTTTACCGAATAGAACCAAAGAGTGTGTGATTGTGTATGTGTGTGGAGAGCGCTAGTGTAGCAGTTAGTGTGTTGGGCTACGGACCCGGCAACCCGGGTTCAATTCCCGCTCACGGCCACCACGACCAGTGACAATTATCTGAATCCGATCGTGTGCCTCCACTACGTTTACTCAGCCTCAAATGAGTACCCGGTGTGATGTGTAAAAAAAAACATCGCCACTGGGTACACAAAGGTGGTCGGGTGTGGTGTTGGCCACCCACCACCTCGTGTACCGTGCCGGTCTTCATAGGTGCTCACGAACAGCACTTGCTCTCAGTCTGCTCAAGGCAATATGGGGGGGGGTAATTATCTGGGTGTAGTGGCATAGCTCTGGCTGCTGGCAGGAAAGGAGATCTGCGGCTTACGGCAGCCCTGACGTCAGCAGGCCGGGATACACACGAGAGGGGGATCTAGCGGAAAGGTCACAGAAGGGGCACAACCAGGAACCCGCTAGAAGGTTCCAGCAAGGGGGCGTGGCCGGGGCGGAGCGAGGCCACGCTGACAGTATAATAGGGACCCGTGTAGGGGACCTCGGGGCTGTTGTTGGAGTCTTCGCCGTCCTTCTCACCGTCTTCACTTGTCAGGCAGCCTACCATTTGTCCTGGCCGAGTTGCGTCGCCAACAAGAGACGGACTAAACATTAAGAGTGTTAACCCCGATGGTGCTTGTTAATAAAAAAAAGTGCCTCCAAGTCTTATTGTTTACGAGTTAGTCGCTACATTTGTATACATATGTACACATACGTACGTATACAAGGAAAAGGTGCTGCCCTGCCATTACTTTCTCATGCTACTGCTGGCAGAAGGGCCTTCAAGAGAGAGGGCTCTAGAGAGAACCTCTTCTTCCACAATGACCAGACGTCTTGGAAGAGGTGGGAGTAGTTGCACTTTACCCCACCACCTGCCCCCGCTCAACGGTTGTACCTAGTTATTCTGCTGGATGGACAGGCGCCAATTGAGTCTCCGCAGTGCCAATGTTTACGCACCAGACCAGGTACTCATTTAAGGCTGAGTGGACCTAGAAGCAGTCCAGGACCAATTCAGATAATCACCTCTTAAGTTAGCCCATGGCCAGAATACCAACTCGGACTGCCGTATAAGTAGCCCCTATTGTATTGTAACAAGTGATCCTCCAATACCTAGACTGGAAGCTATCACGGGGATTGTGATATATTTATCATTTGGCTGGAAGCCACCAACAGTAATGCACGTTCATTGTTCCAGTCACGGCTAACACAGAGCCAAACCCCCGACTAATCCTGTTCCGCACACCCTATCCCACACTCGGTGGAGCAGTGCCTGACAGGCAAAAGAAGTCACGGACGAATTCCGCGAGCGAGCGAGCGTGGCGCGTTACCCGCGGGTGAAAGGCGATGGCGGTGACGAAGTCGATGTGCTGGAAGCAGCACAGGCACTCCTTGCGCGAGATGTGCCACAGCCGCACCGTTTTGTCCATGGAGGACGACAGCAGGAAGTAGTTCTGTGGGCGTCGAGAGAGCGCGAGTAGAGATTCACCTTTTGCTTCGTACGTATGCATGTTGAACTTCTTTGCCGCCGTGCGTAGGGAAAAGTGCGACTTGCAGGTGCGGGGAAGGACAACAACTTAACAGATTTTTGCGTTTAGTTTGTTGTCCTTGCCCGCACCTCCGATTAGCACGGTTGGCTACATACGGTGCGAAGGAAGTTCAACGTACGTAAAAATAAACAAAAACAATAAACTCAACTTTTTATTTTACCAAGTAAGGCTCACTGAGCTATGGAGCTTTTTTTCAGAAGCGACCTGGCCACAAATGATAGTCCAACAAAGTGGCTCATCACGTGGAAATTTATAGCAGCCAAATATTCTTAATGCATGTTTCTAAATGTGGAGTGAAAAACCGTCAGGGTCGGGATCGAACCCACGACCCTCCTGTATACCAAGCGAGGTAGTTAACATCTCGCCACCTTGGCTGACCGTTATTATTATTTAACATTATCTTGTCACCGCAGCGCCACGCCATGATCATTCTGTAGTTTTACAAGTTGGCGTTGCTTTGCATGCTCTTCAAAAGTTGAGCTTCGGGAGTAAAATTTCGATTTTTTTTCGAGTAAACCGGGGCACGATATATCTGGCCACGTCATTTTGACGACACACTGCAGTTGGTTGAGCGGTAGCGTAGAAGCAGCGGTTAAGGTATTGGATACGCCAGTTGTGGACTTAGCGACGTCAGCGAGGACGTGCTGGCTGTGCGAATGGTGGTGGGAATGGAAAACAACCCTTGGTTGAGCCAGTGGTGCTCAAGTGGATAATACTGGCCGAGCTGGTAGTGGTGTTGTGTGGACGTACTGGTTATGCGAGCAACGGTGGTGATGGTGGTGGTGAAGATCTCTCCCAAGGGGAGGAGGAGGAGGTGAATGGGAAGGGTAGAGGCACGTGCGTCGATGCGTACTTGCCTTTGACCATGACAGGTCAAGCAGGTCGGCCGTGTGTCCGCTGTATTTACAGAAAGGCTGTCTCCTGAAGGGTGCCGCACTGTCGCTCCTTTCAGAGTCGTCCGGAGAGGCGATCTGTGCCATGAGAAGCACTGCTCATCAATAGGTGAGCACTGGAGTTGGCTATGTGCCGGATTGGCTGGCGGAGAATTAAGGTTATCGTCGGGCTAGTCGAGGATTCATCACTGATTTTTGGGGTTGGTCTCGTAATGATCTGAGCAGATGTGCATCATGAACCCTCCTCCACCCGACACAGCCAAACAAATTTAACTGCCATGGAGAACAAGCGTTGCAACGTGTCAATTATATGTTTCTGTTGATCACTAGGTTCAGGAGTAATTCTGACAACCAAATACAGATATAATCAATCAATTTAATTTTACGTGCCAATGTCGCCCTCAATAAAGGTAGGCATAAATGCACATTACAATAGCGGTGCAGGTGGCATCGAGCAACAGTAATGAAAAAAGAAAACCATCACGCCCTCCGCGGCTAACACCGACCTAGGGGTTAGTCTATATAAGCTGGATACTGGCATCGCTAGAACTGGCCCCGAGTTGATTTTCGTGCCCGGATTCTGCTTTGAGCTTGCGTCTAATGATTCATAAAGTCCAAATCTTACACGGGTCGCGTGTGACCCAGTCACACCGCGCACGCCAGGCCGGGCTCAACGCGTGGCTGTGACGCGCGCCAGGTTGCGGGGCTGTGCCACATGGAGGGCAGCGGAGGGCAGCGGAGGGCAGTGCAGAAAGATTCACTTTTGCACTGCGATTGCGTACTCCCACGCCTACGTTCCACGTCTCCGCCAACGCACACTGACCGGCGTGAAGTGTGCAAAAAAATAACCCCTCCGTGACCCACACATTGTATGGAGGCCGTCATCCAGCAACGGAAAGCCATGAGGGCTGTCGATGTATAAATCTATTGCAGTACAGTCTGTTCTCCTATTACGAGGTAGTTGGCTTCCAGAAGAACACCGCGTGATGGAACAAAAATCGCGTTATAATAAATAATAGGGTAAAGCACAGTCCGCGGAAACACGTAAGACGGGTAAGCGGGCTGAACAAACACTGAAGTGCGTGGGTAGCATCTGGAAGCATCCAGCAGCATCCCGATGCCCTGTGTGATGATGCAACGGCGAGGCAGCCGCAGGACCACTTATTGCTACTCGCGTGACGTAGTTCCGTTCACTCAAATCGCGTTATATATTAAATTCACATCCGCGTTATAAAAAATAATGTTTTCCCTCATACATTCATCGCGTCATATCCAATTCGCGTTGCAGAACTGGCTGTACTTGCTATGTGTTTGAGGGACAATAGTCAAGCACCGGGTGAGGTTTCCATGCTGCAACATGCTGTGCACATGTTATTTTTGTTGCTGCCACTGCTATGGGTCAGTTTGTCCACGTGCTTGACTCATATTTGGACGGTTCAGAGTTCACATCCTAGTCTGGAGATGACTCAACCCATCATCGTTATCATTCCAGGCAATTCCATAAAAAACAAAAAATCGCTCAATTATCCTTTGTTGCAGAGAGTAGCCTCGACACGGGAATGTGGAAATTACACAAGGCTCCACGTCTCACAGAAATAGGGGCTCATTATTTGAGGGCATATTTATCGGACACACGCCGCTTAGAGACGGTAGGGAACGTGCACCTAGCCTGGCACAAGCCATGTGGTTGTAGTTGCGCTTGCCGTATACCTCTGTCTCCGACTTGATGGAGCTCAGGCTGTCCTGGGAAGGAGAGGGAGACACCCGGCCTGGACAGACAAAGGTGGACGTCAAAGAACCAAAGAGTCCGCGCGTTAACGTGACCGCGCAACACCTCCGGTACAAAGTCAGCTTCTTGAGTACTCTCGAGCATCGCCTGAAGCTACGAAAATAAAAATCGCTATCGCGCAGGTGAGTCCGCACGGAGGAACCAGAGGTGAACTTGTCTTGATTCTCGTGGCCAGCCCAAACCACGTCACAGGTGTCCCCCTCCGGAAGTTACGCGAAGGAGTTTGCCGCTTGAAACTCTTGATTGAAGAACGAGGCAACAGGAGAGAATCACTGCCTTTGCAAAAAAATTAAACGGCTTCCAGAGAATTCTTGAGCAGCAAAGAAACAAGGAAGTCTCCTTGACGCGGCAGCCTTGACAACAAGTCAAGGCTGCCACGTCAAGTGAGGTGAAGGAAGCTGCAGGTTACATTATGAGACCTCCTTTGCCAGTAACAAGATATAGTAATAGGTTTTTACCCTTTTATCTGGCACAAAAACTGACACCTTTATACAAGGGATCATGTTTGCAATAACCACAACACAAGTAGTCAAAATGCAAACAAAAAAGACAACTCTGATAATGATATGCACTGTCCTTGAATTTGATTGGTCCACACCCGAGACGGCTTTTCTTAGAGCCCAGTCTCCATTGGTGTTGGACCAGAAGACGCCAAAAGGCATACAACTCAAAAACAGCGCACTATCAGAGTATTGAGAGCTCGGGGTAAGCTCAATACTCTGATGGTGCGCTGTTTTTGAGTTGTATGCCTTTTGGCGTCTTCTGGTCCAACACCAGTGGAGACTGGGCTCTAAGAAAAGCCGTCTCGGGTGTGGACCAATCAAATTCAAGGACAGTGCATATCATTATCAGAGTTGTCTTTTTTGTTTGCATTTTGACTACTTGTGTTGTGGTTATTGCAAACATGATCCCTTGTATAAAGGTGTCAGTTTTTGTGCCAGATAAAAGGGAAAAAACCTATTACTACTGAAGCTGCAGGTGTTCGGGAGAAGGGGAAGGCAACGATCAAACAGTGGGCGGGGATGGAAGTTCCCTCAGTTGAAAGGCGCAGCAACGAACAGGGGAGTGGAGAGGCACTTCAGAGACTAGTTTGGTGAAGGAAATGGTCATCGACAACAACCCAAAAGGCCTTGAGGGACTAGAAGTAACCACAGTTCAACGTGTAGGTTTTCAATGTGTGTATGTTGGACTTCTTTCGCACCGTGCGTAGCCAACCGTGATAATCGGAGGTACGGGGAAATGACAACAAACTAAACACAAAAGTATTTCTACGCACCCACACTCGTGCGAGCGCGTTTCTGCGTACCCTCCGTGTTGTACTTCTGCCGCATGTTGCTGAAGAACTCGTGCGCCTGCTTGAGCACCCAGATGCGAACCACGTTGTCCTGCCCGGCCGTCGCAAGCAGCCGCCCACAGTGGGAGAACTTCATGGTCCACACGGCGCCCTGGGCAGTGCGGAGGGACACGGGGCACGGCTGAGATTGGCTCAACAACGCCGAGGAGCCCAGCTCATAGTTGCTCATCTTCACGACGCAGGGTTGTCACAGCAAGGGCGTCACAGGACGGCTCAGGGCATCACAGGTGCTCACCTTGTGTTCCTGGCTCAGGTCCTGCACCATGACGATCTGGTCGAAGTCGTAGGGCCCCTTGTAGCCGTGTGCGGCGCGGAACTTCACGGGCCTCGTGTATGGCATCCCCTCCTCCTCGTCGCTCGACTGATCCTCCTGCTCCCCGTGCAGCACTGGCCAGGGACGAGGGACACGGGGAGCGTGCCGCCGCGGACACGCGTGTGAGCCTACGTATATATGTACGTTGCGGGACGCGGTGGTGCAGCGGTGAGCGCGCCGCGCTACGGTACCCAGCGACAAGAGTTCGATTCCCGATCAAGGCCACCGCCAGTGCTCATTACCTGAACCGGTCCTGGGCCTCCCGTACGTCGACTCCGCCTCAAAAGAGTACAAGGTGCGGTGAGTAAACATCACCACTGGGGAGACAAAGGCTCTCCGGGCGTGGTATTGGCCACCCACCCTCTCGTGTGCCATACCGGCATTCATAGGTGCTCCTCGCTAACAGCACTTTCCCCAACAGTCTGTTAAAAGGCTATACGGGGGATCTTTGTCTTTGTGTGTGCGCCCTCGGCTCCCGAGAGGCTGTACCTTCGTCCCGCACACTGCGCACTTTGCTGACGGCCCGCTCGCCGTACTCCTCGGCCAACACCTTGGCCTTCTTCATCGATTTCCCGAGGAACCGCTTCAGCTGAACTCTGTGAAGGAGCACGAATCGGCAAGGCTTGGCAGGGCAGATAACTTCTGACTTACTCTTAACGTTAACAATTAAAATAATAATAATCACATTTTTTATTTCCTTCGCTATTTTTCTCAAGATTTACATTTTAGATCTAAAGGTTTTTTTTTTTTAGGATATAACGCGAGTACTACGTAGCATGTGAAAACCATAGCATGGAAAAACGTAGCATGGCTTAACAGCGCAACAGGCACTAAACTCAGCCTACGTGTTAAACAGGCACTAAACTATTAAACTGAACTATGTTTTATTTGACTAGGTAAGGCCCACTGAGCCATACAGCTCTTTTGCAGAAGCGACCTGGCCACAAACCGGAGAACGCGGAGAAAAATCCACGCGACCGCAGAGAGAACATGCAATCCCACAATACACAGCAGGTGTCAGGGTCGGGATCGAACGCACAGCGTCCTGTTTACCAGGCGAGGCACTTAATATCTTGCCACCGTGGCATGGAATAGTAAAGGCAAATAGTATTTGCACAGTGTGGCTTAGTACAGGATAGTATGCATATCATTGCACAACATAGCATAGCATTTGAAGGCATAACTAGCAAAGTACAACATTACATGAAAAAACAAAGGATAACAAAGTATTCTAAGTAACCGCTTCAGCTGAACTCTGTGAAGGAGCACGAGTCGGCAAGGGCAGAGAACTTTTGACTTACTTTGACAATTAAAATAATAATCGCATTCTTTTAAAAATGTTGTTATTTTTCTCAAGATTTACATTCTATTTTTCACTTTTCATGAAAATCGAAATTTCCATAAAACGCCACAGAAGTGAACGGTGAGAACCCCCCAACTGGTACCATGTATATTTTCGCCGGTTGTGCCGTAATGGCTCAATGACGCTTTTCTACGCGTCGTCCGGAGCGGTGTCTGACGTTTCGGACATCGTTCCAGTTCCTGAAGCAGCGAAACGTCGGTCGCCACGCCGAGCAGCACGCGGCACGACCCGAACGTGCGCTCCGGAGAGCAATAACAAAAGGACTGGCTCTCGCGGTGGTGAGATGTTAACTACCTCGCCTGGTATACAGGAGGTTGCGAGTTCGATACAGACCCCGACGCCTTTATATTGGGAGTTTTCACGTCTCTCTCCACGTAGTTACGTGGATTTTTCTCCCAAGTCCTCCAATTTTTCCCTCCACATAGTCAAAACATGTACGTCTAGAGTATTTGGCTGCTATACATTTCCACGCAATAAGCCACTTCGTTGCGCTATCCCTTTGTGGCCAGGTCACTTCTGAAAAAGAGCCATAAAGCTCAGTGGGCCTTAGCTGATAAAATAAACAAAAACTATTTCAGTTTTTATATAGTTTAACCGGCAACTCACGTTTTCTGCTTGAGTTTTTTGCCATCCTGTTCCACCCCTTGAGGTTGGCACTTCTCCTCATCGTCCGAGCCCGCTGCACCTATGCTGCTGCACAGGACATCGTTGGAGGCCGTCAAAGGTGTGCACGTCAAGGTGTGCACGTCGTCGCAGCGTGTTGGTGTGTGACAATGCAGTGATGTTGTCAACAATATTGTTTGCTTGCTTGTTTGCCAACCAAGGTTAATTTGACCGGTTACGCATAATTAGCTGTCTGTCCCACCCTGCCGTCTGTCCGCCGGTCTGTAACGGTGCTCGAATACCAACAAAACTTTAGTATAAAGTTGCGCTGCTGTTAGGGACTCGGCTCTGCAGAAAAAAGCGAGTAATTGATCAACAGGTTGCCCAAAACTTGGGGGGGGAAAAAAAGGCACTTAAAGAACCCTGCTCAGCCCCATCTCTCAAATCCCCACCAGGCACCCCGCCCACCTGATGAACTCCTTAGTGCGCCGCATGATGTGCAAAGCCAAGGGGTTGTGGCCTTTTGGGAGTATCTCTTCGGCCTGGTTCAGCGGAATCTCCTCTCCCGTGTCCAGGTTCTTGACGATCACCATCGCAAGGATTTCCTGCCGGGGCAACAGGGGACAACTTAAAAAACGGCGGCGACGGCAGCGGCTTACTCCCAATCACGTCACTGTCGCTGTACATGCTAGAGACCGGTCGTCGATCAACTGCTGGGAGAGGAATCTGTCCACTTGGTCAGTCTGGGTTGGTGATTCCTGCGATTACTGCACATGCGTGGAATTGTGAGTGCACGAAGTATGACTATTATATCACGATGTACATTTAAACTAATGTGCATGAGACAATTGATAAACTTGATGCAGGCAACACAGCTGAGATGGTATGAAAGGGTGCAGCGATACAAGATACCCACAACGCATGAGACACGCACGCTACGAATACAAAATAGACAGGAATGGATTATTGAAAAAATTCACACACCCAGATCGTGACAATGTATTGAAACTCTAGGCTACACGTGTCATTATATGACTATTATCAAACTCACAAGACCCCACAAAACGACAAAGGTCTCCCCCGTACAGCCACGTAGACTGTTGGGGCTAGTATGGTTAAAGAGTGAGTGGTATGACCAGAACCACGCCCACCCACTTGTTTACCCAACACTGCTGTTTGCACATGACACCAGGTACTCAATTGAGACTGAGTTAACCTAACAGAAGTTCAAAACAGGTTGAGATATTCGCCACAGTTAGTCATGGCTAGGAATCGAACTCAGGTTGCCAGGTTGGTACTAACTACAAATCTTTCCTCTCCACCCACAGAGATACATTCTCTCACACACAAAAAGACAGACTTCCCCCATATAGCCATAAGACTTTTGGGGCATGTGCTGTTAATGAGCACCTTTGAAGGCCGGCACAGCACACAAGGAAGAAGGTGGCCAGCACCACGCGCAACCGCCTTTGTCTTCCCAGTGGCGATGTTTACACACCGCACCAGATGCTCATTTGAAGCGGAGTCAACCGAGGGGACCGGTTCAGATAATCATCACTGGTGTTGGACGTGAGCAGAAATTTTACTCTGGTCGCTAGGTTAGTAGCACAGCACGCTAAACGCTACACTACCGCTCCCCACTACGCTCTCAAGTGACAAAAAAGATCTCCAGTAAAGCCTTAACACTGTTGGGGCAATTGCTGTTAGCGAGCACTACGCCCTCACACACAACCAGTGCACACGATCTCACCTCGTCGGTGAGCTCCCGTCCAGAATTGGAGCGTGGGCGATCAGCTTTAGCAGCTGGTCGACTGTCAGCTGCACCAGCATCCTTCTCCTGACAGGGAGAAAAGCTCATCAACGCCAGTTCTCCAATCACTTTACTGGCTTCCTATATCGGACTTTCTACATTTTGACTTGCAGGATTTTCCTGAAGATGCTTCCTTGTGCGTTCAATCGTGCGGGTATAATCCCAATTAGCGCTATGCACTCTCCATCCCCCACCTGACAAGAGCCAGAGAAATCAAGTTGTCACCTGGACAAATGCGCCCATCAATTTTCTTCTTCACCAAACCGGTTACGTCGAAAACCATGCCAAAAGAGTCTACGATTCCACACGACGTTTTTTTGGCTGGCCATCACATCCAGCATCACCGGGAGTTCAAAGAAAACCTCAGCCCTCATCGCATGCCTGCGCTTCCCCCCATCTGGGATATTTTCCCACATGCCCTGCTGTGGTGGAGGGGTTTCGCAACATGGCAACAAAGAGGTAGTTATTCATAATAAATGTTTTTGGGTTAGATCGCGTTATTTATGTGTCGTAACCCTCCACCACCAGACACAGCCAATCAGCAAAAAAAAGTGTCACGTTGACAAAAGACAAATAGTTCACTACTTTAGCCCACCGGTGTGTTGAAGAGTGAATCCACAACATTTACAGTTTGAGTACGACGTTTCGCTGGTAATACATCCAGCATCATCGGGCAAATCGCCAGAATGGTAAAGCCCTCACTTGCTCCCGGTCTTAAATAGAGCAGCAGGATGACGTCATCATTTAACTCATTCAGGTGCAGTGATTTGAGGTGGAGAGGGGGGGGGTTTGTAATTATATAATCGATTGATAATCAGTCAATGTCATCATTAGACCTCCTTTGCCAGTACCAAAATATAATAATAGGGTTTTTCCCCTTTTTTTTGCAAAAAAACTGAAACCTTTTTACGAGGCTTCATGTTTGCATTAACCACAATACTTGCAGTCAGAATGCAAACAAAAAACATACTATGATAATATATGCATTGTCTTTGAAACTGATTGGTCCACACCAGGGACGGCTTTCTGTTGGCATCCTCTGGTTGAGCACCAATTGGGTCGAGGCTCAAAAGAAAGCCGTCCCTGGTGTGGTCCAATCAGTTTCAAGGACAATGCATATATTATCATAGTGTGTTTTTTTGTTTGCATTTTGACTGCAAGGATTGTGGTTAATGCAGACATGAAGCCTTGTAAAAAGGTTTCAGTTTTGTTGCCAGAAAAAAATGGAAAAAACCCTATTATTATAATCAGTCAATGGTTATGATTAGTAATGAGTTGTAGATTAGTAATTAGTTGTAATGTGTGTTATTGTGATTATATGCTATGTTAGTAATCAGTTAATTAGTATGTGTAACCTTATAAGGAATTGTAATATGTATTATTTAATAATACGATTCCAAGCCGCACTAAGCCTGGAGCTGTCAGAGCGATTAATTACACACATTACAACTAATTACTAATCTACAACTCATTACTAATCATAACCATTGACTGATTACCAATCGATTATATAATTACAAACCCCCCCCCTCCACCTCAAATCACTGAACCTGAATGAGTTAAATGATGACATCACCCTGCTGCTCTATTTAAGCAAGTGAGGGCTTCACCATTCTGGCGAATTGCCCGATGATGCTGGATGTAATTACCAGCGAAACGTCGTACTCAAACTGTAAATGTTCTGGATTCACTCTTCAACACACCGGTGGGCTAAAGTAGTGAACTATTTTGTCTTTTGTCAACGTGACACTTTTTTTGCTGATTGGTCGTGTCGGGTGGTGGAGGGTTACGACACATTTATAAATAACGTGATCTAACCCAAAAACCTTTATTATGAATATTGGTCGTGAAAGCCTACGTGTTAAACAAACAGGTATTTAGAATTCTCGCAAGAGACCGGGATGTTTTGTCAAAGCACGTGAGAAATCAAACTTTTAATGCGATGGAATTTTTTTGGGGAGGGGGGGGGAGGCTAGAGGCTAGTCATCGGTGGCGGGACCAAGGTCACTCGCCCGCTGCATTTGATGGGTTTTTTTTCAACCGGTTTGATTGGTGTCCAGCTCAATGCTCCGACCCCACGAGCCACCCGGTCACGTCGCAACCACCGCACCCCCCACACTAAGGTGTTCACCTGTGCCTCGATGACCTTTTCCCCTGCCGTGAGACTGGCGAGATCCAGGGACTGGAGCTCCTTGGCCAGATTCTCCACGGCTGTGTTGGGGCTCACCAGACCGCTTGGAGACACGGGCTCTTGTGGGACTGCAACGACGCATGAAGCGTACAACTGCAATCACGGCGGGGTTACACGGTACGGCTATACTACAATATATACTGTGCGACGTAAGCGGACCAAAGGTCCATGAAATTACAATAAAAGCAGCATTGGTGGATGAAATTACAATTATACTGATTGCAATTCATTATAACAGTTACAATTAAAACTGACCCCATGTCTGGACGTAAAGGTCAACGATAATCTGATTTGAGTATCCCTTTTTAAATTCTAAAATATCCAATTTCATCACAAAAATTTACGAAATAAAAACGTAACGAAGAAATCAATTGCCAAACTGTAATTCTACGCTCGCTGACCTTTGCCAAGTCACTCTGGGTGGCGTGGTGAAGTATGGCCAAACAGTCCTCGCCAAAATAAGTCAGAATGTCAAGAGCGTGAGAGGTCACCAAGATTATCATCAATGCACTTATTAATGGAGACCTGTGTAGCAGTACAATATCACAGCAAAGATGCTTTGATATTGTATTGAATCATTATATAAACACACGACAAACAAATAAGGCAAAGACTAACATCACCCACATAGCCTTAACAGACTGTTGGGGCAGGGGTGCTATTAGTGAACAGCTATGAAGGCCAGCACCACACCCAGCCGCCTGTCTCTCCAATGATTTTACACACCGCACCAGGTACTCATTTGAGGCCGAGCCGACCCAGGGGAAGCCCAAGACTGGTTCATATAATCATCACTAGTGTTGGCCGTGAGCAAGAATCGAACTTGGGTTGCTGGGCACGTAGCGCAGCGCGCTAACTACTACACTACTGCTCCCTGCACGGGGACACACACACAAACAAACGCGGCACTCACCTTCCAGCAGAGTTGGCCTCTTCACCTCCTCCAGCGACGGCTGCCCCTCCACCTTCTTAGGTCTCTGTGGAGGGGGTGGCCGTGGAGGCGGCATTAGCTGCTGCTGCGGCTGCTGCTGCTGCTGCTGTGGCTGCTGCTGCTGCGGCTGCGCATGAACCGCCGGCACGCGGGGGGGCGGCACTTGTGGCCGTGGCGGCGGTGGCTTCTTGTGGCTCGCCACGATGTCGGGCTCCTGCGAGGCTCTCGCCGAGCAATCGGTGGCAGCGGCGGCTGCACTAGAATCCGCTGGATCTACGGGTTCCTTTCCGGCCGGCGGATCGGCACCCGGCTTGGCTCCGCTGCTCCCCCTCTCGCTTCCTCCTTCCGCCAACGCCTCCACGTCGTTTTGCTCACCCTGTGCTCCTGCTTTGTCGCCATCGTACTCAGATTTTTTGTCGGCGGCCTCCAGGGCGTGCGCCACCACCTCCGGCATCGCCGCACTGCCCACGACAAGGGGGTGGCAGTTTTCTTCTGGGGAGACGATTGATCCTTCGGCGGCTGCCACCGCCACACTTGTGCCGTCGGAGTTAGCTTGCTCCCCCTGCTTCTTCTGATCCTCTCTTTCTACCTCCACCGGTGGTGGTAACAGCGGCAACGGTGATAGCGGTTCAAGTTCTGCTGCAATGACCGAAGGTGGAGGAGCGGCGGTGTTACTGCCATCTCGCAAGGCGAGTTCATTGATCAAGCGGTGATCAGTTGCCTGGGCCGGCCGGGGCGGCTCCTCTGGCTTGCGCTGTATGCTGTGGCTCTGCAAGTCATCCTTCTGATGAAACAGAATGATTATAGTGGGTGGGAGGGGGTCGGTGGAGAGAGGGGGAGGGAACCGTTGAGTACCATAGCAAGAAAGTTGACTCAAATGACTATTTTCCACTGTACAGCCATGCCACACAGGGATTTAGGAGGAACCCAAGTTGTTTTTTCCACTGCAGAAGGCGAGCTGTGCCGTTGACTTCACAAGTAATGAACGAGTCATTATGCTGAACAGTGGCCCTGCTTAGCCCCAAGCCAGATGCAGATGTCTATGCGAGGCCGATGTGTCACTGTGTTGGTTCAAGCTCGACATGGCAAGCAGCCAGTAGAAAAACAACAAGAAACACCCACACTTGTGCAGGCCCTAAGCTGGCACAGCTCAGGCTGAAACGTGTCTTTGAATCCAGTGCAGTTTAATCAAATTTACAATTTCCGTGACATGTATAAAGCATTAGAGGCAGTAACAGCAGTGCTGAGAGGCAATGGGGGAAAAAAAAAAAAACTTATTTTTTTTACTCGTGTAAGGGCCACTGAGCTGCTCTATTTCAGAAGTGACCTGGCCACAAATGACAGCTCAACGAAGTGGCTTATCATAATTGTTTTTTTTTACCCTTTTATCTGGCAACAAAACTGACACCTTTTTTACAAGGAGTCATGTTTACATTGACCACAATACCTGCGGTCGGAACGCAAACAAAAAAACAACTCTGATAATGTATGTGGCACTGTCCTTGAAATTGATTGGTCCACACCCGAAACAGCTTTCTTTAGAGCCTCGTCTCACATGGTGTTGGACCAGAAGACGCCAAAAGGCGCACAACTCAAAGACAATGCACCATCAGAGTATGAGACGAGGCTCTAAAGAAAGCTGTCTCGGGTGTGGACCAATCAATTTCAAGGACAGTGCATACATTATCAGAGTTGTTGTTTTTTGTTTGCGTTCCGACCGCAGGTATTGTGGTCAATGTAAACATGACTCCTTGTAAAAAAGGTGTCAGTTTTGTTGCCAGATAAAAGGGTAAAAAAAAACAATTATCATATTTTGTTACTGGCAAATGAGGTTTCCAATGAAGTGGCTTATCGTATGGAAATGTATATTAAATACTCTAAACACGTGATGTTGATTCTAAATTTGGAGGGGAAACCGGAGGGCCCAGAGAAAAATCCACGCGACCACGGGGAAAACATGCAAACTCCAAATATACAGAAGTCAGGGTCGGGATCGCACCCACGACCTCCTGTATACCAAGACAGGTAGTTAACATCTCCATACCGTGCCACCCAATGATCTCTGGAGCGAAGCAGAGGCAGCCCTTGTTAGTATTTGGCTGGGAAATACCATATTGTAGGCTTGAGCTACAGGTGGCCAGTAAATGGCAGTACAGTAATGGACCGAATCCCTCTGTGCGGGGCTTTGAGTGTCATCCCTTCGTATGCATGGTTGGTGTTCTCTGGGTACTCCATTTCCTCCAAGATGAAGAGGCTTGAAACATTATCAGGTATTCCTGGGTAAACAAATGACTTGACCATTAAGTTGTACAAATGTAAATATGATTTCCCTTAACTCAGCTGGCCTGTGTTCTTTATCCTAATTAATCCAGGCAACCGCCCACCACACACGGTGTCGATTATAAACAAAGCGAAATCTTTTGGGTGAAGCTCCTCAACAAAGATCCCACAAGATTCGAACATTGCTTCCACACGAAACCCTTGGTGTAAATTCTCACCTCTGCATCTGCAAGAGCACACGCTGTTCCACCACCACCAGAATCTTCTCCGACAGCTTCATCCTGTGTGAACATCCAATGTTAGCAGAGAGCTCTACACAGCCACGACGGATAGATCCGGAGTGGGGAATCCTTTCAATAACGAGGGCCTGAAGAGGACCTTCAAACACCTTTAGCGGGCAACCATGCATTGACACACACAAAATCACACACCAGCCGGCTGTCACTGTAAGAGACCCGTTGCGATGACCGAAGTGACAGAGCATGGAACGAAAATAAAAAATGCAACGTTACAAAGTCAAAAATATCCCCCCCCCCGCCAGTACCCGATTAGTGTGGCCAAGATGCTCGCAGTGCCAATTAAATATTGTTTGCGGGTTGGGTTGAAGTCGTAGCCATTGTGTGGCCATGGGCCAAACGATATGAAGTCACGGGCCATGTCTGGTCTGTGAACCATTGGTTCCCCCCCCACCCCTGGGTTAGACAATAGCCAGTGAGCAAATACACTGGCGACCTGGGTTCAATTTCCGGCCATGCTCATGACCAGTGGCAGGTGGTAATCTGAACCAAGTTTTGGGACTCTCCCCTCCTAGGGCAACTCAGCCTAAAATGAGCAGATGGTGTCGTGTGTAAACATGAGCACTAGGGAGAGCAAGGTGGCCGAGTGTGATTCTGGCCACACCAGCCACTTGTGCGCTAATGCAGTCCTCAATCAGCGACTGAACGATGCATTGATTAAAACCATATTTTATAAAAACACACTTTCTACTCTGTTATATGTTATGTACTAATTTATTATTTTGGCCACTGTGTATGTTGGACGTAATTGGTTTATGTAAAGCCTGCAGCCAACAGTCAATGTTCACGATAATGACAAAAAATAAAATATTTTTTAGTTGCATTAGCCTCAATGTACATTAGCATGTCATTTGCATATATTTCCCGTAAATCGCTGATAACCAATTTTTTTCCCAAGCGTGATTCGAAGCACAAACCACGGGGGACTTGATTTTAACATGGGACCTTCGGATTGCCAGTTGAGTCATCAGACCACGTTCACCACTGAAGTCACCAAGTTGAAGGTGGTGATGATGATGATTGTGGTAGATGTGATGTGGGGTGCAGTAGTTTTCTGGTTAGCATGCTGCGTTACGAACTCAGCGACCCGAGTTTGAATGATCACTCATGGCCAACACCAGTGACTATTATCTGAACCAGTACTGGGCCTCCCCTAGGTCCACTCGGCCTCAAATGGGTACCTGGTGCGGTGTGTAAATGTCACCACTAGAGAGACAAAGGCGGCTTGGCGTGGTGTTGGCCACCCACCTCCTTGTGTGCCATGCCGGCCTTCATAGGTGCTCGCTAACAGCTCTTGCTCTTACAGTCTGTTAAGGTTATACAGGGATCTTTGCCTTTGTTGGTGGTAGAGATGGTGGTGGTGGTGACCTTGGTCGTCATGATGGTGCTAGTGGTGAAAGTGGTAGTAGTAGTGATAGAAGTGGAGGTGGCAATGGCGGTGATAATGGTGGTGGTGTGCTGGTGATAGTATATGTGGTGGTAGTCGAGGTGAGAGTGGTGGTAGAAGTGGTGGTGGCAATGGTGGTGGTTTTGGGTTTGTGGCTGTGGTGGTATTCGAGGTGGTGTCAATGGTGTTGATGGTGGGGTTGTGGTGGGTAGTAGAGGTGGTGCTGCTGCTGCTGCTGGTGGCTGTGTTATTGGGGCGGCGGGTTCAGAGGGAACATGCGAATGTGACAGCGAATTAAAAAAAAATGTAAAATCAAACGAGCGGTGCGCCGGTCGATAATTTTTTTTTTAATTCGCGTGGTCGTAAGCAAGGTGCCACTTACAGACACTGCTGGGTTCTTGATCAGCTTCTTTGAAGACGAACGCCTGAAGGAGAAACAAAATGGGAAAAAAAAATCAGTCACTCTCATGCCTATGGGGTAGCGCCTCCCACTCGCCCCCCTCCTCCACCAACACGACGGCAGTGTACATTCCACCTCCCAATTAAACCGCTTTCCTCCCACACCCAAACATATTCTGTGAGGAATTGGCCAAACGTTTTAAATCAGGCCCGTCATGACAAATCCCTGCATAACCCGGCATCTTTTTCGGTGGCAATGATCCTGCTGAGTGGCCCCTCTTGAGCCAGTCGTGGAAATTCCACATTCCCTTGGTAGGAGCAGTCACCCCCATTCAAGAGCCACTGCTGAATTATACGCCACGCACTGCTCCCTGTGGGAAAACCACACCGGAATGCGCCCCATCTCGTCAAGTCTTGGGAGTGAAGTGAAGCAGCGTTGGAGCCTGGATAATGCCTGAATGGGCGAGCACCACCACCACGCACAGACAGGGTTTCACAGGAGGCCGTGGTGGGCCCGCATGATGGGCAGCACACGGCAGCCCAGTAAAATCCATTTCTGTACTCTACTGCTGCACGTCAATGATCCCCGTCTTGAGCAACCAACGTGGTGAAATAACCCACATGGCCTGCATGGCATATGGAGGGCCCTCAACAAGCAGTGTGTTGACAAAGGCAGTTACTTGTCGTGCTAATTTAATTGAGTGCTTTGAAGAGTTTAATTGAACCCTATAGAATAATCAGGGCAATTAATTTTGATGACTTGTCAGATTCCCACAGAATAGTGCCAATTTTAAAGACCACCTCATGGCGGACGAAGACGACGACGATGATGGGTTGGGCTGATCCTCAACCTGGGTTTGAGCTCGCATTGAGCGCTCTACAGCTAATAGTACATAATTATTAGCTGCGTAAAAACGCATGGATTTATCATTACAATAAACTCTTGCTCTCATGATTACGTGCGGCAAATTACGTGCAGGAATAAATGATTAACAATTCACGCATATTATACGCCAATAACCTGATGTGCTGTTACAGAACTCTACAAAGGAGAAATTAATTACATAGTGAACATTACGAGATGGTAAACCCAGCAAATTGATTCTTGAATCGAATCATGAACTCAAATTTGTTTAGCAACAAAAAAAGCCGTAATCAGATGGCTGCCGAGGTGAAATTGTTGCAGGCGTGGATCAGTGTGTCCATGAGACACCAGGCTTTGTGAGGAGTGGGGCGCCCCTGACTTATCGCTCGAGTTCACAAAGCCTCGTGAATTTCGTGACGACCAAATCTGGCCCATTTTCTAAGTGCTAATGTTGTTTCTATAGATGTTATTAAATATTTATTTGAACAAATATAAAGAGCGACATAAGTGAAAGCTGAGGAAAAAAACATGCAACCACCAACATCCACAAGGCAATGTTGTTTGAATGCCACACCAGTTACTTACCCGTGTATCAAGAGTTCAATTTTAATGTGCAATTTTATTTAGGGGACTGTGTTGTCTTGGTGTAATCTGCGACTGATTTTGCTGTTGTTTTGCTGCCTTCCCCAAGCTTCCGAATTAATGTATTCTAACCAACGCCTGTAACCATTTTTAATTATTGCTTCATCACTTATCAGAATTCTCCAGGATAAATAAAGATTTTGATACTGACTGCACAGTACAGTTTCTGAACCGTGATGTTTCTGCGCAGCGTGGCAACGCAGCTGGAACCACGTCATCATTGCTCTGTGGTGATGTTTACCTGATTCTGGCTTTCGGATCGCGATTTCATATTTCTTGGAATTCTGTACATTTTCAGTGCGGCCGCACTTCTTTTAACTACCACATTGATTGTAACAACATCTTTGGCCTCGGTGTGCAAGCAAAGGGACCCTGCGAGGGTTATTCAACATCGCCCTTGTCGGGGACACTTATAGAAAATCTCACACAGCACTGATGTAGTTTCAGGCCAGGGCGGTCCTGCAAGGATGGCATTGCCTTTGGCAGGCCGCTACAATAGGGGCGTACAACATTTCAACAGGACCTACATCCCCCGCATTATTGATCTGGTTAAGGCTTCGCACAACCCTTTTTTTGTAAATTTGATACCGGGTATGCAATGCTTTGCGAGTAATCAAAACGGGTACTTAATTTCATGACAATCGGGAAAACATTGGGACAGCCATAATTCATCTGTTGGGTGGACTACTCCGATCATTACCTTTATTGGGAGTCACTAAAAATGCACACACCTTTGTGACTCAGTCAATAGAGATGGGACCGGGACCACGCCCATGCCATGAGAATGTGGAGTTTCAATCGCTGGCTCAGGGTGACACCAGACAAGAACGAGAGCGTGCAAAATCGAGCACGGCGCTCACATCCGCGCGAACACCTTGACTTCACTTTACTGACAAACGCCGTTTTCATCCTGAACGCGCGAGATTGCTTTTGCCCGGCGAGGCGGCGCGCGGCCGTCCTTCGCTCGTTCTCCAGCCTCACACTGCGAATAAACAAATTAAATCAATAGTGCCGGCGCAGAAAGGTAGCGCGCACGCAGGCGCAACAACGCCGCCGCCGCCGCCAACAATGTCTGTTGTCGGCGGCTGGCTCTTTGTAGTAGGCAGGTGGCGTGTGGCGCAGTAAATCTCGCGAGTGTTTTTTACCGAGGCGCCACGCTGGGTGAGCATCGTTCCTCGGGGTACCGTTCAACGTGCATAACCAAAGATAAGGAAATCTGCTTTAAATGTGATTACAGACGCGTGCGCCAGACGACAGCGCGGCGGCGCCGCGTTTTTTGCGCGAGCAGCGCCGCCGCTTCTCTCCCGGGAACGCTAAAGCGCCTCGGCGGTTGAGCCTCGGGGGGGGGGGGGCCCACCGTCACTGTCTGGCTGAGCAAATCGAAAGACATTTCGGTCCGAGTTGACCTAGGCGCAATGACATTTTTATGGTGGCGGGCGTGCGAAAGGGGGAACAGCGCAAGCGGCAGGTAATAACGGGCCGGGCCGGGCGAGGCTGGCCGGGCTGGCACATTTCGAGAGCCTCCACACCGTGAGGTGGCCGGGCTGCTCAGAAACCGCAGCAACGTTGAGGTGGCCACCCGCTGAGATCCTGGATTGGAATCCAAGTTTCAGTGGTTTCTGATAAAACCGGGTTTTCAAGTATGGTGATTTGATGATCTCAGCCTGTTCACGATTGAATACACAATAAATAAACAAAACTCCATCCCATTACATTTGGTTGCACCTTAATTTGGCACAATTCCAGCTCGGAGAATTAAAAACACTGGGTTGGGCCACCCCGAGATGAACATTGCTCTCAGTGGCATGGTGGGTGGGGAAAGTCCTGCATTCTACTGTGTGGACCAAATGTGAAGTTGAATGGATTTTAGTGGTAGCTCTGGGATATCCGCTTAATGGTAGGCCATTCTACAGCACAAAGGGTGCACGCACTGCTCTGCAAGAGATCTGAACAGGTACTTCCGTCTAGTAACCATGTGACGCCGTTCGCAAAATCGGAGAAATATTAAACATTTAAAGGAAGAGCCCCAAATTGTGTCAGGGGGCCCGGGAACACGCGAGCGCGGGTGCAAAAAAGGAGGGCACAGCACACATCTCGCATGCACATTTATTCCTGCATGCTTATCATGCTGTATAAATAGCAGTGTAACATTGCACCGATTGAAATGTATGTGTTCACACTCGCAATTCGCGGAATGAACGGCGCATGTGAGGAATGATTGTTCCATTTGTGCACATGTAATTAGAGTTCAAGTTACCCTTGACAGGCACTAAAGCTGCTACAATCCACCACAAACAAAAAATTATGTTCAATCATAACCTTGAATAACAAATCATAGAATATCAAGAGGAGAGGGCTCGGATATTTATTTTTATATGTAGAATGCATTTTAAAATGTTTCCCACTCCATTACCATACAGATCTGTGCAGTGGAATTGGTAAGATGCCTGGTAAGTTTACTCGACATTGGTTTTGAGGTTTTGTATTTTACGATAAGACAAAAGGATGTACGTAATAAATTAAAGTGTTAATTATGGGACTGGTCATCTCCACATTCATAGGTTGCTAGGAGATGGCAGTACAGCAATGGATTATTGAATCTACCTGCGCTGGGCTTTAGCATTACCCCCCTAATATGCGTGATGGGTTTCTTCCCAATACCCCGGCTTGCTCGAGCACAGTGTGGTCCTCATTTCAGCTACCCCGAGGGCTCTTAAATGACGGAGGAGAGGAGTAGAACGGATGAGCGGGATGTGAACTCACAGAGTTGCATTTGTAAGTCGAGCTCTCTAAGCGGCCACCGTGTTACCAAGCCAGATTCACAAGCACGCACTCCAGCAGCAGCAGCAGGGATACATAGGGTTTAAAGGCTGTGCGAGCAAGGGGAGGTGGCTAGGGTACGGCAGTAAAAGAAACTCAATTGAGCATGACGGGCACAAAGGCTGGAGTAATTGCTTGCTCGTGAATTGGTAAAGCTTTGATGTTGGCTGGTATTAAATACGCCTTTGGACTTGAGTTACCCAGCCCTGGGGTTAACCTCAGCGTGACTTTGATTAAGACACACAAACCTTCAAGGGCACCAATTGAGGCTGTGTAGTTAACGAGCATTGTTAGCGATGAGTGTGCTTAATAAAGGCGTCACTGTCTTTGTGGGCTCTTAACTGGTAAATTAAAGGCGGCGAACAATGGACATGTTTAGCCACCCTGTCCAGCTGCGTTGTCGGCCAGTGAGCTTGTGGGGGCGATGATATCTGTCGGTGGTCTCGAGGCAGCGGTGGAAATTCCACATTCCTATGGCGTGGCCTGTCTGATCACAGAGCAACGATTTGCGGACTTTCTTGCAATGGTGAACCTCTGCATTTGTATCAATGCCAGAGGTATGACAATGCTGAGCTGGGTCTATCCGTGACAATGATTCCAACCCACTTGCTGTGCTGCCACCTCCTGGGCACATCTCAGCAGAGTACGACAGGCGTTGCACGGCATGCGACAATCTCCGCGAAGCACAACAGACGTCGC